AGACAAGAAAAGCTGATACCTTTAACTTTACTTAGACTTGGCAAGGTTACATAGTATTGCCCCTGCACTGAGTCCATGCAGGGTGATGGGAGATAGGGGTGTGCATGTTGTGGGTAATCACAGAAGTAGGAAATAAGTGCTCCACAAGAATGACAATTGACTGATATATTCATGTCCACTAAATTATTCAGTACATTCAGTTCTGTTAATCCTGTGTATCATTTGAAATCCGCATCCCGGTAGACACAAAGTGATTGTTCAGATAGCTCATTACACATTCTTTTTCTCTAAGGAAAATCTTCCTTTTGCAGATTCTAAATCACTATAATTAAATAGCACTTCCCCATAATGAACCACATTCTGGTCTGTTAAGTGACTTTCCACCTTGGAAATGAATTTATGAGAGGAAGCACTCATTTGAAATGTAATAATACTGTTCCTCTGATATTTAATTGGTAATTTATCTTTTACTTCACCATAAGAGCAGTTGCCTTAAGATCATGTACATTTGAAGATAGATCATTACCTTTTCACTTAAAATTATTTAAGTCAACAGTATTTATAGAATATTTTTACTGTATTGATATAAAATACTTTGTGATATTTACCTTTTAATATACAGTTTGATTTAGAATATATTGCCTTATTCCTTGTAATTTCATCTTAGCTGAGTTTACATAGAGATATTTGTATGTGTTCTCAGGGCAGATTGGCACTTGACAAAGCAATTGGCATGCTCGTTTCTGGGAAAGGCCACCTCTCCCACTCCCAGCATTAACCAGTTGCCTGTAAGTTTTTCTGAAGAGTTGAGGCCTCACAGGCTTTTCACTACCCAGTTTGACATATTCATGATATTTTCCTTATACAAGCTTAAAACCATGTGCATACAACTAGCTATGAAAAACAAAATCAGGTTGCTTTTACATGAATATGTAATATGAAGAGTTAATTAAAACAAAGTCGTGATTTTGAAAGTATCACGCTGTAAGTGTGGTGATCAGGGTGAAAACTAAAGGGTTATTTTTCGAATTATATTTTAATGGACATTTAGAAATGGATGCTTGTAACAGCTCTTTCAAAACTCAACAATGTGTTTAGCAACATTTGTAACCTTGCTAGACTTAAATTTAGCTAAGGTAAAAATGAAAAATTACCACGTTTCTCTTCCCAATAAATGTAGATCTGCTTTGCCAGAATTGAAACAAGATTTTTCCAGAACTGAAGGGTAGGGAGGAGTCAGGAATAAGTTTGTGAGTACAGGGTAATTTGGGGGGAAATTTATGTAAAAGATTTAACAAAACAGTCTGGATATTAACATTGCTTGGGACACAGCTCCCCACAGTATTCTAATTGCCTAATACTCTCAAAATAAATATCACCCAACTCCTGTATTGTATACAAATGAAGAATTGTCCTTGTGACTTCTGTTTTAATTATCTGTGCTTCCTAACCCTTACAAACTCTGCTTATTTTTCTGAATACCATGTCATGATTTTATAAAAGTCTAATTAGTGATATATTTAACTTCACTAAACTCCCAAATAGAAGGTTGTATTAATTGACAGAAATACTGTGGCCTCAACTCTAAATCCAATTTGTTACCAATTTTATAAATTTCTTTATGTAATGTTCGTATATTTTCTTATCTTTAAATTTCAGTTTTTGTTCATCATCCTGAATTTGTACAGAAATATAACACTAGTGGTTTCATTACAAAACAAAATAACCCAATCTACCACAATGTTTTATATTTTTAAATTCCCTTCAGTTGTCAGTTGTTCTACATAACTAAGTTATGTTTAGCCTTTGTGCTTTCAATTTAATGTTTACTCTTTTTATTGTGTTTTTCTTGTAACATATTTAGATGTCCTGATTGATTCTGTCTAATTCTCACTGTCCAGTGTAACTAACTCCCATATTTTGATAAAACTTAATTTCATTAATATATGTCTCACATTCCATCAATACTAGAGGCCAGGACAATACACAGCTTTTTTTTTTTTTTTTTCTGGAAAGCAAAAACAAACAAACAAACAAAACAAAACGCAGGATTTAACAAGGAGAATATAGAGAGTCTGCTCAGTAGTTAGGAGCATTTGTTTTCTTGCAAAGGACCCAGCTGCTGTTCCCAGCACTCGCGTGTGGCCACCAATCACCTATATCTCGAGATCCATCAGCTCTAATACCAACTCTGACCTCCAGAGATTCTGAGACAAATTGTGGTACACATGCATACACAGAGGCTGAATAGGTACACATGTTATAAAAGATAAATAAATCAAAAATTTCCTACTTGTATAAAAATATGTTTCTGTGGAAATTAGTATTAAATTAAATAAAGCTGTTTTAACCTTTATTGCTGAGAACTATAATAAGACTTAATGGAGAAATATAATTGAGATACATGTTTAATATGAAAGTAAAAATAATCTGACAAACCAGCCAAATGTTTTCACAAGCAACATTATTGAATAGTTAATTTGAAACTTTTGTTCAGAGGCTAGAGAGACATAAAATGGAGTTTTTCTTATCAACTATACTTGTTTTTTTTTTAAATCATTGTTCACTTCAAAATAAAATGAACTCAAAAGAGTTGGACTTCATTGCTTTTACTTGAATTGTATTGAATAGATCATACTTGAGTTCTACAAAAGAAATTGTTCTTCATCTATTTCAATTTCTTAAACATTTTTTGGAAGAAATATTTGAATTCATCAACTTTAGAGAGACATTGAATCATCCTTCAAGTAATATATGATGACATTTTGAGCACAAATATCAAGATTATTATTTTTAATATTAAATATTACCTGAGTGTTTAAAGTGGCTGAGGAGCATATTAATATTAAATATTATTTCTGACATTTTAAAAGGTCAAATATGCTGCAGTTATACAAAAACTATTAGTAGAAACATCAAATTATTATAATTAGTTGAACACTAATTTGGTTCAAAAATTAGCGTTTAGAGAGTTTGGAGTCAATATTTCTTCTCAACAGAGGTCAAGAAAATTTTATTGTTCAAGTTTAGCCAAATTTTTTTCCACTTTACTTGAAAATGTTAATTTAGTATTTAAATAAACTTTCTTGCTAACCAAAATGTGCATTTTAATATTTGTTGGCTCACCACAGTGGCCAGCATAAGAAGCCACTTTAAATTCTATTTAATTCTCCAATGAAATAAAATAATTATTATTGGGTCAAACTGCACAGAAAAATTCTGTGGGATATTTATTTCTTTGTGGGAGAAAGAAAAAATTATACTTTGCTATTCACTGGTTGCTGACTAGAGGTAAGTTCTTACTTTGGCTTCCAAAAATCAACTGTGTATTGGCATTTCAAACTTAGGGGACCTATGAGTCTTGGTAAATAAAATATCGTTTTTATAAAAACATCAACTGATAAAATTGTCTGGCCCTTTTACCTGTTTTTGCAGTCTTTTAAATATTCAACCTATGTTAATATCATTTTTAGTCCATTTGCTTGTTCCAACTAACTTTTTTTTTCTAAAAAAATCAAAAAAATATTTCTAATTTCTCTTTATTTCCTCAGTGTTTTGCCTTTGTATGGGTGGGGTTTTTGTTGTTATTTTTTTTTCAATTGTAATATAGTGCATTCTCAAGAGGACAATACATCTACAAACTTTCAGAATTTAAAAGTGACCAACTGAAGTTCCACTTTATATAAAACACATGATGGATATATCTAACATGTAACTGACCCTAACAATTTCATCATGTCTTTATCTTTTGTTGTACTTTGTTGTTTTATATGATCTCTTAAATGTTTGGTGTTATGGTTCCTCATACTATGCCATATACCCTTTGCTCTGATCCCTGCTATTTCTGTGACCCTTTAATACAGTTCTTTGGATTGTAGTGATCCCAAACCATAAAAATATTTTCACTGCAAACTTTATAACAGAAATTTTGCTACTGTTATAAATTAGAATGTAAATATTGTTGTTTTCTGGTGGTCTTAGGTAACCCTGAAAGTGTTATTTGCCATCCCCAAAGAGGTCATGATCCATTGCCATAGATAATTATAGTTCAGATAGTCACGACTATAGGAGATTTTTAATAAGTTCACAAACATTGTTTATTTGCTATTTTTATTTGTGTGAGAATTTAATTTGCCTTTTGTTACTCAAATCTAAATATTTGCTTATAACAGTAACTGTCCAATTATTTCTATATCCTATAAATAAAATAAAAAGTTAAATCAATAATAGACATTTAGACTGCAGATATATGATTCTTCTTCCACTAGAATAATTTATTGTCTTGTTGATACCCAAGAACATAGATAGGACAGATGCACTGACTTCCATACCCAAGTGCATTCATTTTTACATTTATAGAAAGGTCAAATAAAAGAAATAGACTCATCCATCCTATGCTCCAATTCAATTTCTCTCCCTCTGTAAATCCAGGTAGCTTATTGTGCACATTTAGGCATACATTTTTATCTATATACAATCTTTAAATTGGCATGAATAGAAAATTATGCTTTAAATTATAGCTATATTATTGCTATAGTTATTTTTATCACTAATACACTAAAATTTCTGACAAAAGCAACTTAAGAAAGGGTTCACTCTGGTTCACAATTAGAGAGTACAGTGCATCGTGGCAGGGAATGCCATAAATTTGGTATAAATTTGAGACCTATGACCACAGTACTGTTGGGGGAGACTGCTAGTTCAATCTGGCCAACTAGAGTCGAGGCTGCTCACTCATTCCTGTCCACCCGGACCTGAAATAATTACACAGACTGTATTAATTAAAACACTGATTGGCCAATCACTTAAGCATGTTGCTAGCTAGCGCTTATTTCTTCTTTTCTCTTTTACTGATTTTTACTGAGCTCTACATTTTTCTCTGCTCCCCTCTCTGCCTCTCCCCTCCCAGTCTGTTGAAATAGGAAGCGGCAGGGCTGCGTCCCCGGCACCCGGCCGCCCGCATGGCTAGCTTATGCCCAGAAATAATTACACGGAAACTGTATTCTTTCAAACACTGCCTGGCCCGGATAGTTCCAGTTCCTTATGGCTAGCTCTTACATATTGTTCTAACCCATTTCTAATATTCTGTGTAGCCCACGAGCTGGCTTACCAGGGAGGATCTTAACCTGCGTCTGTCTGGAGCGGGAGAACCATGGCGACTCCTCACACAGCTTCTTTTTACCAGCATTCTCCTCTGTCTACTCCGCCTACCTAATTTTCTATCCAATAAAATGGGCCAAGGCAGTTTCTTTATTAATAAGAAATCACTCCCACATCATTTCCCCTTTTTCTGTTTAAACAAAAAAGAAAGGCTTTAACTTTAACATAGTAAAATTACATATAACAAAACAGTTATCAAGTAAGAATTACAGTTACAATATTTATATCTATTTTATCTCTTACCATAACTAAGGAAAACTATAACTATTCATTCTTCAACTCCATCAAAGACTCCAGAAGGATATAATAATACTTAAGTAACAAGAAATAAGAAAATTCTAGAAATGACAGAGACATCTCGCTGCCTGGACAGTCACCCAAAGTTCCTCTGTACCGTTGGGGCATCCATCTTTGGCCTACAGGCCCATGTTATCCAGAGACATTTCCATGAAGCAGGAAATTTTAAAGACAGTTCAGTCATTTTCTGCTGTGTCCTGCAGAATGTCTCGCAGACTCCTTCATGAATCAGGAACCCCGAAAGACCATCTCACCTTTAGGCAAGTTCAGTAGTCCTCTCTCTGTGGGTTCTCTGTGTCCAGTTTATGCAATAGTCCAGGCAAGAGCAGTTTCTTGCCCAAATGGCTATCCATAAGGATCCTCTTCGATGCCCATCTTCCTCTTGAAGTAGCTGGTGCTGCCAGAAGCAGACGTGTCTCATTGTCATGAAAAGTCCTAAGTTATTAAAACATTTAAATGCCATATTCTGCAGCCTTTGAGAGATATGAAGAATGCCTATCTAACTGAAATATATCTCTATATATCTAGAAAATCTAATTAACATGACTACAAGCTTAACTATTAGCGATGATTATCCATTAACAACCTATATTTCCTAATTATACATTACATTTTTAAATGAACTACACAATCACAATACCTTAATCAAGATCAAAAATACATATACATATAACAAAATTGACTGTAAAATCCATACCAATGCAAATTATTCATATCTATATCATATCCCCCTTTAAATGTAAAAGAACATTTGTAAACAATATTTGGGAACATGGGCGTAGTTTTTTCTCTCCAAACTGCTTCCTGCTGAATAGGGGCGTCGTTAATTAGGTCGTTTGTGGTATAACCTGTGTGCCAGGGTCATCTCAGTTGGCAGTTGAGCGAAGCAATTTTTGGAGGGTGTTCACAGCAACCTTTCAGGAGGGCGTGGTCTATCATACCAAATCGGAATAGATGCAATCCACAGGGTCACATCCTCTGTGAAAAGAAAAGAAGACCCTTTCCAAAGCATCATATCCTTAGACCCAAATTTTGAAATCGTAATACCGTTATATCCATTCTGGTTTAGCTTGGCAGCCCATGTAATGAAATGTCTCTCTGTACTTAGCTCCTTCACAGTCAAAAATTTTAAAGAAAACACAATGTACATAATCCAGACTCTCTGTGAATTTTCCATTTTTACGTGGCTTATATTTACTTTATTTCTCTTAATCTATAACTATCTGTACTCTGTCTCTTTAAAGACTTTATCCCCCTTTTTTTAAGGGCATTAACTTTATTTTTTCTCTCTATATTTTTTTTTCTCTCTCAAGCTTACGTACATTCATCCAACATTGTGATCCATTTAGTGGTCTGTCTGAATCTGTTTTATTGTGAATCTGTAATTTTTTTACTATCCAGGAGCATTTCTTAAAATGTTAAACAGTTCTTAAAAACTTAAGTTGCACCATGTACAGGTAATACGGTACTGCCTGTGTCCTGCCCACTCTAAACCTTAACTGCACGGTTTTAAGGTAATTACGGTAGTTCCTGCCTGAGACCAGCACAGTTCAGCATGGAGCAGCCGCACCAGCCTCAGAGTCGTTTGGTGCTTCTGAGCTGAGCACAGTTCCAGGCACACAGCAGTTCACATTGGAGCCGCAATCAGCAGTTTAATTCTGAGACTGGGTGTTCAGCACAGAAACTCTCTTCATCCAAGTTACAGCCAAATCTGACATGCAGAGCACTGCGCAGTCTGAAAACGCGTCTCTGTATGGCGGCAGGAATCCGCCATGCTCTTCCGCCTGCCTAAGCCTAATTCTGCCTTCTGCCCAGGTGCAGGCGGGGAGCTCTGAGCCATCTGCATGGTCTCAGAGCACTCTCCTCCGATCCCAAGCGGGAACACAAACATCCAGTCCCATAAAAGCCTTGAAATGCTTTAAAGCCAGAGTTCACGCTGGCAGCACAGCTCCCAGGAAGCCGCGCTTTAAGATGATGCAGTTTTTTTTTTTTTTTTTTTTTTTTTTGTTGCTGAATCAGGAATCTCTCTATAGCACGCCACCAACAAAACAGCAAAAATCTGTGTTAAACTCTCTCTCCCTTATTTTTAAGCCTTCTCAGGTTTTTAAGTGGATTTAGCCCATCACGTCTGGGCGCCATCTGTTGAAATAGGAAGCGGCAGGGCTGCGTCCCCGGCACCCGGCCGCCCGCATGGCTAGTTTATACCCAGAAATAATTACACGGAAACTGTATTCTTTCAAACACTGCCTGGCCCGGATAGTTCCAGTTCCTTATGGCTAGCTCTTACATATTGTTCTAACCCATTTCTAATATTCTGTGTAGCCCACGAGCTGGCTTACCAGGGAGGATCTTAACCTGCGTCTGTCTGGAGCGGGAGAACCATGGCGACTCCTCACACAGCTTCTTTTTCCCAGCATTCTCCTCTGTCTACTCCGCCTACCTAATTTTTTATCCAATAAAATGGGCCAAGGCAGTTTCTTTATTAATAAGAAATCACTCCCACATCACCAGTCAACCCTCCATGGTCCCAATTTACTCAATTTGCCTTTCTTTCTGTTTTTCTCTCTCTCTCTTTCTGTGTGTGTGTGTGTGCTCACGCGCATGTTGTGTGCATCCCGAAGTATCACCTCTTCAGTCTCTAGTATGCAGCGTATCTTATGTTTCTCTTTTCAGGGCTCACTATTTGATATTGTTATTGAGTAAAGAAGCAGTGTGTGTGCTCTTTCATGGGGAGGATGATTTCTTGTACTCTCAGCATTTTTTGTTGCCTGCTAGCATTGAGGACTCAAGGGCTTTCACCTTTTACTTTAGCATGTCCATTGGTGTTGTTCTTGTTTAGCTATGGTTTAGGTACAATCGTCCCAGAAACTTAGGTGCGAGATTTTTCTCTTTTTTTTTTTCCTTGTTTTATTTATTTATTTATTTATTTATTTATTTATTTATTTTTAATTAATTAATTTATTTATTAAAGATTTCTGTCTCTTCCCCACTGCCGCCTCCCCTTTCCCTCCCCCTCCCCCAATCAAGTCCCCTCCCTCTTCAGCCCAAAGAACAATCAGGGTTCTCTGCCCTGTGGGAAGTCCAAAGACCACCCTCCTCCATCCAGGTCTAGTAAGGTGAGCATCCTGTATACATTGAGACTGGGCTCCACAACTACATTTTAATTATCTGTGGTTGTCTGTAATTATCTCCCTCTGTTGTCAAAGAAAAAAAAAGTTTCCTTGATGAGGAGTGAAAACTCTTTTTTTGAGTGGGTAAATGTACAAATATTTAGAATAAAGTTGGGAATTATGCCGAAATCCATTGGCAATTTTACCTTCTCTTTCAAAATCTGACTTAATTAGCTCTGGGTAGTTGTCTTGGTTTCCAATACCAGACATGATTTAGTTCTTGTTAAACTGGTCTCAAGTCCAGCTGGAGATCTGTTAGTTACCACCAAGTTGTTCATGCCACTATTGTGCCTTCCAGGCTCTCAGTGCTTGTTGATTGTTGTGTTTCAGGTAAGACTATGTGGTTACTTCCTTCCTTTGAAACCTTATATGCAAAATTCAGCTGCTCTGCAAGTTTTCCAGAAAAAGGAGGCATCCAGATTAGTTTCAGTTAGAGGGGCTCTGGACTCTATGTCTGAAGTGCATGGTATCTAACATATAACTTTCATAGTTCCGTGTATTTTTTTTGCAAAGTTAATGCTTTAATTGTTCATTCTCATTTGATAAGCACGCTGTTTATATGGCTTGTTGCTAAAGGCCAAGATCTTACATATATAGGTTTGCTACAGGCTCGCCATATTTTCCTAAGTTCCTTACTATAGTTTTCCCTATCCTCTGTTCATCTCCTTTGAATGTGGCTTGTTCTTTATCTCTAAGCATTACATACTTTATTACTGATGTTTAGTAATTTATGTCTCCATTTAGAAATCAGGGAAAATAAGATCACCTAACAACATTTTCTAAATAGTTAATAGTATTGTCATTATTTAGTGCTTCAACATGAGTTGGTTAACTTTAGCTCAACTTGAAACCAGCTACAGTCGTTTGAGAAGAAGGAATGTCAAGAGAGAAAATGCTTCTACTAGGTTGACCAGTGGGGGGGGGGATCTATGGGACATTTTTCTTTCTTTCCTTTTTGTTTTCCATTCTTTAATTTTTAATGAATAAGACATTCAGGCATCTTTCATTCTGATTTATTTTTGTTTTAGTGTCCATTGGTGTTTCGTTTGCATGTGCATTTGTTGAGGGTGCTGGATATCCTGATATTACAGACAGTTATTAGTGGCCACATGAGTTCTGAGAATTAAACCTATGTCCTTTAGAAGAGAGGCTAGTAATCGTGATCACTGCTGAGACAGATGATTTATATGTGAGTTTCTAGCTCATTGTGAGCGTGACCAGTCCTTGACTGGTGTTTCTGAATGCTTCAAAAAAACAGTTCGAGTGAGACATGAAAAGCCAGTAAGCAGCACTCAACATGACTTCTGGATTAATTTCTATCTCCAGGTCAATGTGTGAGATCCTGCTCTGACTTCCCTGAACAAAAGACACCTTATCCTCCTCCTCAGGTTGCTTTAGGGTGTGGTGTTTTATCAAAGCCATAAAACAATTGCATTTTTTAAATTTTTACTTTGAAATCATTATAAGCCCTTATTGTCTGTTTGTTTGGTTTTTTTTTTTTTTTTTTTTCAGACAGGGTTTCTCTGTGTAACAGTCCTAGCTGTCCTGGAACTAGCCATTGAAGACCAGGTTGTCCTCGAACTCATGGAGATCCACCTGCCTCTGCCTCCTGAGTGCTGGGATTAAAGGTGTATTCTACCACTGACAGCCCGGTCAAGCTCCTACTTTTAAAGCCTCAAACGTTCGCTTTGCAACTTCTCCAGTTATACTTGCCTAGTGGCTTAATTTAAATGAAACATTAAGAATGGGAAAGAGGATATGATTTTATTGTAGGCATAGTGGACTCAGTCACCCTGTGCTTTGTAAATATTTGGAGATAATTTTTTAGTTAGCTTTGCTTCAATATGTTGTTCCTAAAAATCTTATTATTTTAAAATAAAAGTGTATATTTATATACATGCCATTTCTACATATGTATTCTTCCTTTGCTTCTACACAATCAATATTGAACCTACAAAAAATAAGTGTCTTTTGATTTGCTGAGAATGCCTTCAGGAGTCATCCTTGTAGCATGGACTGTATGTTCTACTCCTTTGCTGTTTCAATTCATCTAGGATTAAACAGAATGCATTTGTTTGCAATAAATAGAATAAATATTGGAGAGTTGATTGAGATCAGTCCTCAGGCCTTGTAGTTTCCTCTATTTGTTGCAATTTAATGTCACTTAACCAGTGGAAATAGAAGAGAGTTAAGGTTGCTCTAATTTATAGGGGAAATTTTTTGAATAAAATGGAACTACAGGGCTTTTTTTACTTTTTTTTTCTCAAAATTTTTGCCTTTCTATATCTCTTGTTTGCTCCAGGGTTTCACAGAAGAATCAACTGTTTTAAACAATATGAGAATGCATAGGTCTACATTCAATATTAGTGTTAGGAGGCTGTCTCACGCAGCATTTATGAGAAGCTCAGGTAATAGAACTGAAGTATTTACAGGGTAATAATAGTTTGTTATACTGCAGACATATGCCTCACACTTTATATTTTATCAGTATTATTATAATAAACTATGGCCCTAGACAGTGTCTAGAGGATAAAAGAACCAACAATATAGCTGGCATAGTCTATGTCATTGTATTTATGACTGCTGGTAACATGATTTTTTTATTTTGTTTTGTTTCTCGAGACAGGGTTTCTCTGTGGTTTTGGAGCCTGTCCTGGAACTAGCTCTTGTAGACCAGGCTGGTCTCAAACTCACGGAGATCCGCCTGCCTCTGCCTCCCAAGTGCTGGGCTTAAAGGTGCGCGCCACCACCGCCTGGCTCTGCTGGTAACATGAATTCCAGCACTTTTTCATTATTATTTCATTAATCAAGGAATCTATAAGGATATATAGCAATTAGAGGAAGAGTTTGAGAAGAAAAGGAGCAAGAGAAAAAATAATTTGATTTAATATGGAACTTATTGGAATTATTGATTCACTATGTTCTACATAATAGCCCCCCAAACAATTTACAAATGTTGTAGAAGTAAAGAAAAATGTATAACATTGCTTTTTATTGGTGCTTCAAAAATGCAGCAAGAAAAATGTTTTTTTTAATTAAATTGTGCGCAGTAAATACAGAATAAGACAATGGAGTTTTAATTATTGTACAAATAATAATTCAATATGAGCATCATTGAAATTATGCAATAAAATTTAAATAAAGCTAATAGTTGTAAGTGTGGGTAATGTCACACAGTGAGTATATACATGTACAGATTATAGATCACATGAAAATTAAAGCTAAGCTCAATATGAACTAAAAATTAGAATAAGTATTTGGACACCTAAAATCTACAAACTTAGTGCAAGACATCAAATTTTATGATCCCTAGCTTCTTAATCTAACAAAAATTGGCACATTCATTTTAATTTAAGAACTCCTACAGTCATGATGGCAGAAAAGTCAAATTCAAGTTAAATTAATTTGTGATTTCTATAAGTCTGTGCTGGAAGCTTATGAACTTGATTTAGCTATGGACCAAATCATACCACGCCCTTAAGGAGATGCAGTGGACACAAATCCCAGTGCCACTTTCAGTGGCCCCTCAGTCTGCCCCAACTGTCAACCACATTCAAAAAAACTACTTTGATCCCATGCTCATTCACTCCTTTGTCCATTTGGAGTTGGTGAGCTCCCATTAGCTCCGGCAAACTGTCTCAACAGGTGGACACCATCATGGTCTTGACTTCCTTGTTCATATTCTCACTTCTTCTACTCTTCAAGTGGACCTTGGGAGCTCAGTCCAGTGCTCCAATGTGGGTCTCTGACTCTCTTTCCATCTGTTGTTGGACCAAGGTTCTATGGTGATATTTAAGATAATCATCAGTCTGACTACATGGCAAGGCCAGTTCAGTCACCCTCTCCTCTTTTGCTTAGGGTCTTAACTGAGGTCATCCTTGTGGATTCCTGGGAGTTTTTCTAGAGCCAGGTTTCTTGCTATCCCCATGATGACTCCCTCAATCAAGATATCTCTTTCCTTGCTCTCATATCTGTCCTTCCTCCATCTCGACGATCCCATTCCCTCAACTTCTCTCAACCCTCCCTTTCTCCCCTTCCTTCTACCCCCTTTTTCCAATGCACCCAAATTTTGTCAGCTCATCTTGTCTGTTTCCAATTTCCAGGTAGGTCTATATATTTTTGGGGGGGGTTCACCTTATTGCCTAGCTTCCTAGGATTATGAACTATAGACCCATTCTCCTTTGTTTATGACTAGTATCCACTTATTAATGAGTTCACACCATATTCATTTTTGGGGGGTGTCTGGGTTACCTCACTCAGGATAGTGTTTTCTATTTCCATCCATTTGCATGCAAAATTTAAGATGTCATTGTTTTTTTACAGCTGAATAGTACTCTAATGTTGTTGAAATAGGAGCGGCAGCAGGGCTGCGTCCCCGGCACCCGGCCGCCCGCATGGCTAGCTTATGCCCAGAAATAATTACACGGAAACTGTATTCTTTCAAACTCTGCCTGGCCCGGATAGTTCCAGTTCCTTATGGCTAGCTCTTACATATTGTTCTAACCCATTTCTAATATTCTGTGTAGCCCACGAGCTGGCTTACCAGGGAGGATCTTAACCTGCGTCTGTCTGGAGCGGGAGAACCATGGCGACTCCTCACACAGCTTCTTTTTCCCAGCATTCTCCTCTGTCTACTCCGCCTACCTAATTTTCTATCCAATAAAATGGGCCAAGGCAGTTTCTTTATTA